ATGGCTGTTTATTGGTTTCCATAATATTTTTAGATATATGAAACGATGAAATGTTGTTTCTGTGAGAAGAAACGAAAATACCGTAGATGGATTGCATGATATTCCTTTTACTTCTTAGTTTCCTTGGTACAGTTAACATGAAAGATGTTATGTACCAAGCCGATATACAAATAGTGATATATCTGGTAATCTTCTACAACCTTTCTCGAACTTGTCTTTAACTGTAGTTAGATATTTGGTCTAATTCAAAGTGAATGTCTTCATAGAACGGAAATTAAGCTGAATTTAGATCCATTGTCAAAACACAGTAGAAGAACTTTAGACTAGCGGTTTTTCATCTCCAATGATAGGCCATATAATGATATATTACCATACAATAATTATCCTGCTAGAACATCAGGCTAACTTTTGTGTGCTTTTTAAAAAGGGAGGTGATTCTTTCGTGCATCGTTTTATCCTGTTGTTTGCAGCATAGTATGAAGTTATGCATGAGATGATGAAGTCTACTGCCTACAAGTTGATTTGTTGATTGAGTTGCTTTAGCATTTTTGTTCACATAGGAGGGCTAAACCTTTTGTTCTTTCCTAGCTATGCATTATAGATGTGGAACATTAGATGTAGCATGCAACGAATTATTTTGCAAGAACCCTATATTCTATGTTTGAAAAGTCATAGTAAATTCTTGAATGCTGGCATTTTATGAAATGATAAAAGGAATCGAGAGGCTAATGAAATAGAAGACATGTTATAGTATCACCCAGGGTGTCCCGGAAATGCCATTGTCTGATCTATAAGGACTTTCCAACTTTCCAAAGTTTTTAGCCATTTTGAAGGGCTAATTAGATGTGGAATTGTAAATGGAACAACTTGTAACTTTCTACTATGATAAGATTACCATACTGTTAGAAGGCACTACTTTATGAGTACTGGAGTTCTTCAATCTTGCTACCGGCGGGCCATCCGATATCGGGCTACCTAGCAAGGATTATAACTTAATGATAATTTTTGCAATCCACAATTACAATATTAATTAATTACCAAACATTTGCGAATCTAAATAAAATAGTGCTCTGTCAAAATATCTTAACTTTTTTGTTGCCATATCTGGGCTTAGTTACTAAGGACCCGCAGACAATTTTCAGCGTTTCTATAGCTCTTGGGCCAAAACCAACAAAGCTTCGCGCTAACTTAAAAACCATGCACTTTTCCATCGTAATTCCGGCGTAACGAAGAGGAGCAAATGTTCCGTACATAAATACAAGTTTAAGTTCAAGGTAGTGCTTCAAGACGAATACTAGAAAAGAGTAAATAAAGAATTATGAACAATCAAACGATGTGCACATTTTTTGGGACACCTTGTATTGCCAGTTTCAACTAAGTTACTCAGTTAACTAGTACATTTGTGCTTTTAGAGAGAGAAAGAAGGAGGAAGAAAGAAAGAAAGAAAGAAAGAAAGAGAGAGAAAGTGTGCGTGTGTGTATGTGTGTATGAGTGTGTATGCGTATGCGTGTGTGTGTATGCGTATCTATGCGTGTGATTTGTACGTGTGTATGCTTGTGAATGCATGTGTATACTTGTATGTTTATGATGCGTGTATGTGTGTGTATGCGTGGATGTGTGTATTTGTGTATGCGTTTGTGTGCGTGTGAATGCAAGGTGTGTATGACATGCTTGCTTGGTATGTATGCGTGTATATGTGTATATATATGTGTATGCGTGTATGCGTGTATATGTCTATGTGTATGTGTATGTTTATGTGTATGTGTGTGCATTTTTATGTATGCGTGTGTATGTGAGTATGTTTGTATGTGTGTATGCATGGTGCGTATGTTATGTGTGGTGGAAGTTTCAACGCACCTTCACAGATCAGCTTTACAAGAGAATGTTGGACACTTTCAAAAATTCTTTGTTTAATGTTCTTTTTCTGTGCTCATCCTGACGTGCCTCTACTTTATTAATGGCTCGAATCTTTTGATTTATAGATAAAATGCATTCTCATTAACTCAAATTTTTTTACTAGTAGCTTAAAAAACGGACAGAGTATATGCAAAGAGGAGATTCACTTTCAGCGCTTGAGCGAACATCAAAGTCAATTTATCAGCTGAAGAGAGCAGATCTCGCTTATTTTGGTAACAGTAAATACCCTTGGACCCTAATTAACATAATGAGTAGCTCTGCATTTTGACAGTGAAACAACCAGTTGTGGCGCCTTGAGCTCAAATTCCACTTTCGGGAGTACCGTAGGTTTTTAACTATGATTTATGGTCCTTGATCCTTACAATCTTAATAACACTGCAAACCCTGTCGCAAGTTTATATTTTTCCCTTTGACTAATTTCGCCTTGATGACGTCAAACGTTGCAGACTAAAAGCGTGTACCGTAATTTAGGCCTCAAAGTTCTCATATACATGAATTTTTTGACTGCTCTGAAAGAACACAATTGTTATATTGAAGCGTTTTTGAAAAGGTAAAAGCAAATGCATTATGAAACGGTTTGGAATTGCGTAAAATCTGAAGGATCTATGAATTGTGCAACTTGAAAATTCAACGACGAATAAAAATATTAAAAGTAATTAGCTAAAAAAGCTA